TTAAAAATAAAAGTATTTTTTATACAAATTTATTTCATTTAAGTCAAAATATTTTCAATACAAAGATAACACTAATTTGGACCGCCGATTACAAGATCTTATGTAAATAAGGAAGCGATACATTACTTTATATCAAATGTCATTATAATCGATTAAAACAAAACGAATCATCAATGCGTCAAACAGATTGGCTTACATAATATTGTATTATAATTTGCAAAACGCTTGTAAATCCGTCCGGAGTAAAATCTTAGTGAATCTCACGGGACGCAATCATCAGTCGGCCACATATATTATTCACATACTGATTGCGTACGGACGGACGATTTGAATTATATATAACTGGTCATACTAGGGGCTGCGGGACGGATTTACGGATATATTCTTTTATATTACAACGCAGACTTTATCAGTTTTTGTCTGCAGTCCGCTTCACCTTTTATATTGAATTATTCATATGATCTTAATGAGAAAATAATACAAGTGTTTACATTACATATACCTACAAAAGTTTGTAAAATTATGTTGATGTTATATTAAAATGTAGAATTAATCATATTTAATATAAGTAATGAATATACAGGTTTAATAAATTACTCTTCTTTTGACTTTTACAGCGTATCTAAAATGACGTAGTTCTTTGAAATTTTGCAAAAAATTTAGTGATTTTGAATAAAATAAACTTTATTTTCGGAATTAGATTTTATTATTTAGAATACATTAAAATAGCAATACTTAATGATGTGGATGTTCGACTTTATAAGTCGTGTTTGAACAAATGTGAAGTGAAAGTAATTTGACTAAATTAGTTCGTCGCTTGATTTGTGAATATTTTATTATTTATAATTGATATCCGGTTCCATGGTGTAATGGTTAGCACTCTGGACTTTGAATCCAGCGATCCGAGTTCAAATCTCGGTGGAACCTGATTTTTTTTTAAATAAATCTTTTTACATTCACCGAATGTTAAGTCATATATCTTTTTAACTATATATATGTTATATATTTTATTATAATATATAACAATCCGCTCCTGTGTTCTAGCGTGAACATTGTCAATAGGCAGCAGTGCGTGATAACAGCCGTTTAGATAAATTCCCTCGGGAGATCAAACTCCAACCTAAATCTATCTCATCTATGTAGCTTAGATGTTACACATACGACTTACAATATCTAGCATATTATTAAACTAACATTATGTTATAAGGATATTTAGTATATATTTTATGTAATAAATATACATAAAAAGTAATTATTGCTTTATAATTCTGTTAGGATCGATAAAATGCTTACTTCAAATAATATGGACATATCTTCGTATTAAGATTGATTATTTGTTATCAAATTTAATATAATTAGTCTAAAAAACTAGGTTCCACCGAGATTTGAACTCGGATCGCTGGATTCAAAGTCCAGAGTGCTAACCATTACACCATGGAACCGGATATTATAGCGAAATAATCGGATAATTACAATGAGTTGAATTTTTAACTTTAATTTATTATTTAACATGTATGGAACGTGTGTTTAAACACAATTCAAATGTTAATTGAGTTCAATGTTAATATAGCCTTGGTTCTTTATTTATCAATTATAAAGATGTGACTATGTGACCCATGTCATTTTAATAAAAAATTAACAGATTTTTATTAAACGCATGTAATTGTAAACGCTACTTACATTAGATACTCCTTCAATTAAAGAACGATCTTTAAAATTATTTCTTCAATCGCAAATTCATCGCCCTAATGTATGGTAAGATATGAGCACTCATAGTTTTATTGTCACCAAAACAAAATATGATCTTCAAAAGGGATCTACGTGAAATGCAATGAAATCTCATAATGATGATACATATCACAGAGAGAGTTTAATATGTAGCCAAAACCATAGACAACAGCTAGTTAATCATACAATTTAGGAAACGAGAATATTGCTAGGACTACTGATTAGAATTTTCTATGAAAAGTCCCATTTAAATGAACATTATTATCAATTAATCATCTATATTGTTATCATGTCCAGTACTATAGATACCTGATGTTAGTTGTAAATTAAAAACTGTATCTAATTGCTAAAGATATTAAACCAATCAGGCGGATTGTTTGTTTGTCCTCAACGTTTGCGCTGTAATGATGGATGGCTCATTAATATAATGGTTAGATATCGGCAGTCCTGTTAGTGTATTGACAGTTTTTAATACACGTACACCTTAATACGAGTTGACGTGGTCAAACGAAGAACAGACGGTTTGTAGTTCGTCGTATACTTACGTATAGTGATACTATCGTGTGCTTTAATACAGAGTAGTGGTAATCGTACAATTAAATACATATGCATATACTTTTATATAGCTTTGATAGACTTAAGATAATTACATAGATTCCACGAAATTTCAGTTAGTAATTATTATGATATACTTTCAAATTCCTTATATAATATAAGCTTATTTTAATAGGTATCAAATAAAGCGTAATGATAAAATATATTTTGTATATTAATTCAATTTTTCCATCGGATGTAACGCGATTGTATTGAGTGCTCATTGTTCGTAGATCATGTTACAAGGGGCTCTGTAATGTCGATCATTACTCGTAGGGATTTGTTATATATATATATATATATATATATATATATATATATATATATATTATTATACTTTAATTATCAGTTTACTTTAAATTGGAATAAATAGTAAAGTATGTGAAATTCTTAACATTGTGAATTTATATGATGATAAAGTATTCAAATTAAGTATCAGTTCTAATTTCTATTGAAAATACTTTGTGATTATTTCTTTATGAGAGTGATATTTGATACTGATTTCATTCAAATTAATTTAATATTTTAATTCATGCTTAGCCTTGATATAAATATATTCGACTCTTTTATTGCACTATACATATATTTTTATCCTACAAATCGTATATATTCCTTATATTTTTTATAAGTATTTGAGGAATTTTCTTTTCAAAAGTTTTAGGAAATTTTCGTACATGAAATTCTTTATTATAGAAATTTTTATTTTAAGCGATTTAAAAAATAATCCTTCCTATACCAAGCTGGTAACTGTGAAGCACTCGATAAAAATACGAAAGAAATGCCTTATATTTTGGAAATAATCTGATACTTTTAAATATTTGGAGCGATATTAATTAAACTTATCTAAAAACCTCCCAACGCCAACTAGCTTTCGATAAAAAAATCGCATCGGAATCGGTCAATCGATTTAAGAGATACGATGCCACAAAATACACATACACATACACACACACACACACACACACCCACATCGAAGTAGCACTTATAACTGCCCTCTATTGCGTCGGGGGTTGTAAAGGAATGTACCTACACACTAAGGTTGAATTTGGTCCTCAATTTTAGTTACAAAATCAAAAGAATCAGATAAAATACCTATATGATACATAATGTTTAAATGTTACTACATATATTCAATTTTTTTGCCTTCCATTCATTCGATTCTTATTAAATGATTCAAATACAAAATAATAGTGATCAAAAAGTACGAGTAAAACATGATTTTTATAAACGTATTTTAGATATTTAAAAAAAAGGTGTTTTTGTATAAATAAAATGACATGTTATAATATACATAATTATTTATTTAAGTGCTAATAATGTATAATAATTATTACAATGACATTTGGATTGCACGTTCATCTTTGGATCGTTACACAATTATATAATACTTTTTACAATATTTACATGTTGCAACATCAATAACGATTCATTAACATCTAAATGAAAATTCAGAGGCTATACAAAACATAAAATAATATATGTATAATTAATTTAATAATGAAATGCGTAAGTGAATCTCAAGAACTATATACAAAGACTTGCCACTTGTATCTTTTATTCTTCCTGGCAATTTCCCAGCTTTAGCCAGGGTCTGCCTTACATGTTGTGAATAGTTTCAGCTAATTGTTTTTACGACCGGCCGCCTGCCTGACATCAACCCTCTTTGGGACTTGCCACTTGTATGTTACTGAAATTTTCGTCTATCTTGATGGTAATTTAAAAAAATGTATATTTTCAATAGAAACATATAAAGCGATATGAATTGACAATTCTATACTAGACACGAGATTATACAACATTCGTATACAGATTACGTATGGAACTGAAATTTATTTATTTTGTTACATTATATACAATTTCTTCTATTATTATTAACTATGTATTTGGCAAAACGGATTTCACGTGACCACAGATTATTCTAAACAGTAAAGTGAGTTAACAAATGTGCTATAAGTTTTTCCCTTTGCTTTCAATGTGTTTATTTAAATTTAACATCTAGTATAAGCGTAATTTAAACTACTTTTATGTATGTCTTTTTTGGTTAAATCTCATTACATGTTTTCCTATATACAAGTACATAAAGATGTTTTATCGGAATGACTAAATTGTTCTTAAAATAAATGTATGACTTATTCCTAAATTGAATGTATCAGTATTCAGTGCGATTAATATTAACGATAGACGTGATTTCAAATAAACTATTTATTATATATAATAAAATTAATTTGTACATAATAATGAAAATAAAAATCTTCGATACATATACCGCCTTCATGATCTCTTATGTATTCTAACAATTTTATATATATTATCTTGCATATAATGTAGAGACAACAGCCAGAAATTTTACACTGAGATCAAACGCTTACGACATTACTTATAACATTAAATACTCTACACTTAAAGGTGCGGTGCAGTAATTCACATATAATGTCTTTGGCGGTATCTACTCTAAATACATAGAAAATAAATTATATTAAAATCTTACAAAACCTAAAAAACTTTGTAAACACTATAAAACATTTAACATGAAGATGGGATTTATCACTGAACTAAAAAATCACTGTAGTTCTTTGGTATTTATTCAACGGTCAAAATATTTAACCTCTGATATTGGTTAAGGGGTGTGTAACCTTTGGTTGTGAGCCTTAGCGCCACGGCGCGAAGGCGGTTGTGGTTCAGGAAGGTAGTGGTTGGAGGGGGGGGACTCCACTACTGAGCCGGAAGTCAGGCTGACGAAGATCCGGATGTGGGGGGCGGAGATCTGTGAAGACAGACATCATTAGAAACAATTGATATATATACAAGTTGATATTTACTTATAGTTATATAAATGATTGATAAATTTGCAGTAGGTAGGTATAGTATAAAAAGTACCATCTGTAATATTTTGTTGTAACACTTTATTTTAAAGAAAATATATCATGATAGTAAAAAACCGTCTTATTAACAAAAGTCAATTTCTTTTATAAAATCTAGAGTCCTGTAAACATCTTTATATGTCTATTTCTGTTAAGCGTATTTAATTGTTAATAAAAGATAAAATATAAGATTAACTCCACAATGCACTATTGGGGCAAAAAAAAATCACGATCCATTTAAATAAATGTAAATATATGAAAAAATATTAGCTTAATATTTATATATGCATGCATCACTCACCCATGCGTTCTCCAACATGCATATCAGCATGCATGGCGTGGACATCGGTATGCGGCATATGCTGCTGCCTCAGGTCGGCATGCTGCGTCTCTCTGTGCCGCCTCAAGTCAACTTTCCTTTGAAACGCCCGCCCGCACAAGTCACAGGCGAAAGGCTTGAAGCCGGTGTGTTTCCGCGAATGCGTTATCAGGTTTGAGCTCTGACTGAAGGCTTTGCCGCATACCTGGCATTTGTGAGGCTTTTCACCTGAAACAATGTTTAACATGTTACTTATACATACATAGAAATTAGGTAATCATTTAAGATTTGAAAGTTCATAAAAAGATAATAATTCTTTCCGAATAGTGTCTTAAAAAGACATTCCTGATATTTCTGATAAATGAAAGAAATATTTTTGGATTAGGTACTACGCCTTAATTTATTATTTTTTAAACTGCATACTCTCGACGTTTCGGTTACTTTGCAGCAACCGTGATCACGAACAGACGAGATGTGAAATAACGCGTAATAATCTGGAAATATTAGTTTCATTTAAATTAATACTCGCCAAAACCTTAATTCTCAATTCTTTGATAATCTTAAAACAAAACATTTATTTTATTCTCATTTCATTGAAGATAAAAAAATATAAAATAATTAAATAATATTATAGTAATTATAAAAAATAACCATATAGGTATTAAGTCGTGATTTATATACAATCCAGCTCAAAAGAAAACTATTAATAAGCACTTATGACATAAGGTTTAATTTAAACTCAGTAGCCGACCGTTACGCTCATACTCAAAGTTAACTGCAATATACATATTACATATATAACAATAAACGAAACGAGAAACACAATATATACATAATTATACTAAACAATAATAACTATAATAACAAAACTCAACAAACAAAAGCTCAACCAATATTGTAAAATACGCTCAAAAAATACATATAGGGGAGAGTCGGATATATCGTACCACTTTTCACTTTAACTCAAATACTTCGACTATAACACGTCTTATAATAATTAATACATATGTAAAATAAAGTTTCATATTTTAGCTTCCTAAGAAGAAGAGAACAGATCCTTGCGATTATTCTAACATTGTTAAAAATGCTTTTTTGTAGAGGCTTGCCATCGGTACGATTTAGCCGACTAGTCGTTTTAATCGTACCACTAAGTCTTTAAATCGTACCATGGGTGTTTAAATCGTACCACTGAATGAAAGACATTAAAATTCTCAATCAACTTATTTATTTTTAACTGTTAGGTAAGTAATAAAACAACATTATTTATATCTTTTAGGTAATAGAAACATAATTTTTAACTCTTAGGTTATATGTATAAAGGAACTATAAGCTTTCTCAGTAAAATAACATCATTATACTATGATAATGAGATCAATCAACATAACTAATAAAAATGAGACAAAAAAAAGCAGTAAACTATAATAATAAAGTATCAGTTAACAAGAATGTTATTTGTAATATAATTATTGTGCATATTTCTTAATGGAAACAATCATGACAAATGTCTGGATTCGAAGTACACGTCTCATGTAGCCACCGTTTACAGCGAACGCATTGAATGCAATCAACTTTTGGACCCTTCTTATCGTAGTAAGAACAATTGCACTTTCGACATATATTTTCAAGATAATCATCATCATCTAGTTCTACAACAAGTGTCTCTCCTGAATCATCGCTACTGGTGATGGAATGAGATCGTTTCCTCTTATAACTTTTGTTTTTGGCCTTGGGTAGTACTTACTATACGTACTTGCGGTAGTACTATAGGTACTTACGGTTGGTAGTCGGGTAAATCGTACCAGTACAATTTAACCAACTGCAAGTGGTACGATTAAACCAACTAAGGCATTTCTAAAACAAAAGCAAATATCCGGCATAAACTCAAAACTTAGACACGCAACAAAAACCCCCAATAATCTAATATACAATTGTGGAATAATAAAAAAAAAAACTGAATAACTATAGCTTACCTTGATTACGAGTTATCCTTACGAATGTACGACAATATTTATATTAATTCCTACAAAAAATGTTTTTCTTTTATTACGTGCACAGTTGTTAACTCACGTCGATTTAAACTAGTGAGTGAAGAGGGATGGTGCAGGGCCACTATTTGGCGTTGTCAGTGTAGAAAAAAATACTCATTAAATGGGAAATTTAGAAGTGGTACGATTTAAATACTAGTACGATATAACCAACTCTCCCCTACATATAGGTAGGTATGTCGTGAAATAAATATTATTATTTATTTTATAATTAAACATACTTAACTTCTTTACAAAAATGGGTTATTAAATATATGTAACAAAATATATTCTTATATAATGTATTAATACAGTATAATAATATTAATAGGTCCATAATATCACATAACATCTATGATAACTCGCATTATTATATACTTATATGTGATGCTGATAGGTAATCTCAGCTGGACCCGTATCGATCCTCTTCACGTGTCTGAAGATACTTGCTAGGGTTGGCGACGTTCATATTCACTAGGGTTGACACCGCTTATATTTTCTAGGGTTGCGTTATAAATTTATTTAAATTAAACCAATATATAACGCTTGAAAATGTCTTTAAGCTATCGTATTTAAAACAAAATTATTAATGTTTTAATAAAATCTATACCTATATATATACGACAAAACTGTGATATAATTTAATATTGAAATAATGTTTTGAATTAAAATAAATTATATATATGTATATATATTATAATAATATATGTACCGTTGAACCCTGAATATACGTACGTGCGAGTATTAATACTCTTCCCGTAATCTGTGCGTACGGCATTAAGGATTCTCAGCGCAACGGACTACAAAAATTTATATCGTTATATACGGCCATTACCAGTTTATGTATCGAGATTCACAGGAATTTAATATCGGACCCTTTGTTCACGATTTCTTTGTCGCGTTCAATCCAACCGAGTGTAAGGAATATTTTTATAGAAACATATCAATACGAATAAAAAAACGACGCTGAAACATTATTGTAACTTTTACATAATACTGTTCTCATAAAGTTAAGTTCGCTTTAATAAATCGCTCTTTTACTTTTATATATCATAATACAAATTATACCTATCAAATCAAATCAGCTGTACCTAACAATTAAGTGGCTTTCTAAAAAGCGCCGTTGAATCCGTCAATCAAGGGTTCTGGCTGGTGCTTGGCGACTGGCGACTGGCGAGTGGCGACTTCATTAGAGTAAACGAGAGGCCTCTCCCATCTTGTTCGTACTTGTCGCGAACAGACCAATTTATATCCGTCGTGCTATTGGCCGTGATTGCGGGAGCTCCACCCAGCGTCGCATAGCAACGGGGAGCTCCCCACAGCCACACAGCGATATGGATCGCAATTTTCCTTTGAATTGGAAATCAGAGCTCGCCCTCGTTAGTCCTCCATCTTTGAGAGATTTCACTGAAGTTACTACGAATAAGATGCTACGAATACAACACATATCTACATGTTATATACTAAAGTACATAATTCATGATAATTCTAATATTATAATCTCAAATTCTATGATTAAAGCAATGCATAATTATATTCAAAATTCAAAACAAAACAAGTGAAAAGTTGTTGAACACGACGTATTGCGGCGTCACTCGTTACATTACAAAGTCCGCGAAGTGCGTAAAATCTTGTTAAGTCTTAACACTGTAATTACTGTTAGGGACGGGGTTGTTAATAGCGCTTGGGGATTCTGAGATGCGACGGAGGAAGATGCGAAGACAATCTACTGTTTGGGGAAAATGTACGGAACTCTGACACTTTATATGAGCATTTTTAGCATCGAATCGCTTCAATTGTTTGGAGAGTAACGTGAAACTTAAAGAATAGCTCGCAAACATACTAAATGTACATTTTAATTGAATAATTTCTACAAAACTATATATTTGTTATGTATACTAATATTAATTGTACGTCATCTTCAAAGTTATAATATAAACTCGTTATAGTGATCCATTCTAGTGGTTGTTATTTGTTATAGTGTTATAAAGGAAGCTGTATTCCTAACGACCGGTTTCACAGATTTTTATGTGACGTCGTTATTATACGAATTTATAGTATATACTTTATTATTTAAGTAAAGTAAATAATATTAGTTAGGTTACTTTTGTGAGTAATTGTATATACATATATCTTTGCAAATAAATATAAGGCATATTAATATACGCGGTGTATATAATAAAATATATTTTTTAAGTCTGTCTCTAAGATGGCTGATGTAATAATTAGTATTTCAGCGTGAATTTTATTTTACAAAATTATATATTTTTTTATTGATGATGTGCATATTAAGAAAATATCGTTTCCCAATACACTAAGTCGCAAGGCACAGACAGTGGCAGTATTTAAAGAAGTACTCTCAGGTATTTTAAATTCAACAAATATGATTGTTAAATTTAACACTGAGACTATTATTAGGGTATTTATATTGAACTAGGTAAAATAAAACGGTTAGACAGCATTCATATCAAAATATTTTAGGTGCGTCTTTAAAATCGTAAATGAAATATACCTATTATTAATTAATAATAATCGATAAATTCATACAAAATCCAATGAACCGTGGTTTCTATGAGCGAGGTTTAAAATTCTTCTCTTAAGTATCGAGTCCTGATTGAAACCGGGCGAGAGATAACCATAAATCCCGGGTATAATAAATCCGGCTACTGAATCCCGGATAAAATACAGATATGGGTCTAGAATAGACCGCGCGCGTTTTATGACGAAAAATGATCATCATACTTATAAATATTTAATGTTTACGCAAATTAACAGATATATTATAGGTACATGACTAATTTGATCAAAAAAATGATTTAATTCACCAAATTTAAAGCATTCTCATATAAAATACTTCTATAATATTCCATACTTCATCCACAAGTAGAATGATAATAAAAAATAATTTATACTTCTAACTTCGAAAGCAATCTCGTCCCCTAAATCATTACCGGCCATTATCAGAGCTATTAGCAATAAAACAGATATAAATACAATTAAATTACCAAATCCGTCCCTGGCATCTGCACAGCGTCACTGGATTTTTATGGAGACTTTGCGTTACTGAATTAAATATTATGCTCGCAACTTAAAGTGCTATGGCTTTGAGATTTTAAGATATATATTAAGTATGGCATATCCAAGTGTAGGTTATATGTTATAAAGTTAATTAATGTGATATAGAAATAGAAATGAAAATTAAAC